CGAGGAGAACAGGCATGAGCCACTAGTGCCTGGCTTTCCATATTGGTTCTTAAGAGCTATGGGTTTCCATGCCTTGTCATTGTTTCTGTCATGTCTGATGGCCTTCCATTTATATTCAGCTTACATTTCATGTCTCTCTGCTTGGGGAAATCCAGTTACAAATTCATACCTTTGTCTAAATCTTAGTGTCACTGGAGCTGAAAGTCACTGATTCAAAATCTGCCTGTATGCTCACAGGCCTCACAGTTTAACCTAGTAACCTCCAATATCCACTCTTGTTGGTTATCCAGGCAGGTTCCTACTCCATTCTCTATTCTGGGTGACTCTTTTATACTCCCCTCTCTTCCCTCCCCTCCCTTCCTCTTCCCTTTCTTTCTTAGGTCATGGGAGTTGAACTCAGGGCCTGTGACTGTTCTGAGCTTTTCTGCTTAAGGCTAGCACTCTACCACTTTGAGCCACAGCTTCATTCCTGGTTTTCTAGCAGTTAATTAGAGATAAGAGTCTCACAGACTTTTTGCCTGGGCTGGCTTTGAACCACAATCCTCAGATCTCAGCCTCAGGCATGAGCTACCAGCACCCCACTTCTTGAATACTTTTTTGTTTTGTTTTGTTTTTTTTTAAAAATTTCATTGTCAGGGCTGGGAAGGTGGCTCAGTGGTAGAGTGCTTGCCTTGCATGCATGAGGCCCTGGGTTCGATTCCTCAGCACCACATAAGCAGAAAAAAAAAGCAGGAAGTGGTGCTGTGGCTCAAGTGGTAGAGTGCTAGCCTTGAGCTGAAGAGCTGAAGGTCAGTGCCCAGGCCCAGAGTTCAGGCCCCACGACCAGACTCTTCCCCCCCAAAAAAAAATTATTGTCAAGGTGATATGTAGAGGGGTTATAGTTACATAAGTAAGGTAGTGATTACATTTCTTGTCTAACTTGTTAACACTTTGCTCATTTTCTCCCTCTTTTCCTCCCCCCAGCCTCCCCCTCCCCAAGTTGTACAGATCATTATTTTCATTCAAATGTCTTGTCTTGTCCCATCTTCACTCTGCTAATAATGTAGTTGTGTGGGGTAGGTACATAGCTCAGTGGTAGAGCATGGACCTAGCATGCATAAACTCAGTGCCTAGGTTCATCCTAAGCACCACAAAGCAGAAAAACCTAGCTTTACCTTGGATTGGAAATACCACTGAGTGAGTGAGACGCTCTCACCCTACAGGTGTCCAGGGCTGGCCCTCATGCTCCTCTGCTCCCTTGTGTGTGTGCCCACCAACCTCTCCACACTTGGCTTGGGGTACCCTGTTACTGGCTTGCACACCTGCAGTCCTTATCTTTATTACTTATCTCAAAACAATGAATTTCCCTTTCTCCCTGATCATTCCCATCACCCTGCAAATAATGCTGTTTTCCCCATTCTTTTTTTTTTTTTTTTTGGCGGTTATGGGGCTTGAACTCTGGGCCTGGGTGCTGTCCCTGAGCTTTTCAGCTCAGGGGTAGCAAGCACTCTACCACTTTGAGCCACAGCCCAACTTCTGGTTTTCTGGTTGTTTATTGGAGATATGAGTCTCATGGACTTTCTTGCCCAGGCTGGCTTTGAACCACGATCCTCAGATCTCAGCCTCCTGAGTAGCTGGTGTGAGCCACCAGTGCCCAGCTCATGTTCTCATGTTTTTCTCATTTAAAGCAAGAAAATCTCTCTAGATTCCTGACTTCCTTTCCAGGTAGCGGTTTCTCCCATTCTCTTCTTTGTGGCACAATTTCTCCATGTACTTGTGATTGCTTATTGCTCCCATTTGAAATCCCTGACGTTAAGCTCTTACTTGCTCCTGCTCTGCCCTCACTGGGCCTTCAGTGATGAGATGCTTAGCTCTCAGCTCCCTACAGCAATGGCTGACATGCATCAGTCATTTGCTTCTCCAAACACTTCTTCATCTGTCTCCAGGACAGAACCTTCTTTTATTTTTTCCCAAACTCTTGGCTCTTCTTTTCCATTTCAAGGTATTAATATGGTATCTGGGACCAGCCTTACCTATCTGCTTTTCTCCGTATGTCCTTTATAAACTTGCTAAGTATCTTATCTCATGTCATTAAATGCTGGTGTGTGTGTGTGTGTGTGTGTGTGTGTGTGTACATGTACCCATTATGAGGGTTGAACATGGGGCCTCGAACTCTTGTTTGGCTCATTTTGCTCACAACTGGTGCTCTGTCATCAGAGTCATCTCTCCAGTTCTAGCTTTTTGCTGGTTGTTGGAAATAAAGAGTCTCTCAGATTAGACTACCTGGGCTGGCTTTGAACCTCAGTCCTTAAATCTTAGCCTCCTGAGTAGCTAGGATTACAGGTATGAACTCCCATCTGTATATTAAAATGTGGCCTTATGGTAAAGCTTATATATTCCTCAGTCTTATTACTGGCAAAACACCTGACACAAAGTCACTGCAGAGTTACATTCCTGAATTTCTCTATCCAACATGCTTTTTCTGTAGTTACAATTTTTTTCCCCCTCAGTTATTGGTAACTCTGTCCTTTGAGTTATTCAGGCCAAAAGCCTTTGAATCACTTTTAGCATTGCTGACTCATGCGCCTCATCCATTTTATCAGTAACCCCTCTGGTCCATTTTTAGACTGCATCCAGAGTCCCACACATTCTCTCCACCCCCTCTGCTATTACGCATCATCGTCTCACACTGGGGACATTACAGGATCCTGTGATCAATCTTGCTGTGCCCTCATTGTTATTTACAGGTCAAGCACAAAATGCCATTAGAGGGATTCAGTGGAAATGAGGCTCAGAGAATGGCATGACTTTGCTCCATGGCTTCCTGTTTCTCTCACCATCTGCCTTCTGACTCATGCTCACAGGAAAAGTCAATGTTTACCAGGGGTCTGCAAGGCTTCAGCTGATCACGGCTGCCACCTCATCTATTTTCTTGACTCTCTTTGCGTGTGCGTGCGTGCGTGTGTGTGCATGTGCATGTGTGCAGATGTGTACATGTACCACTATCCAGCCTTGAACTCATGGCCTCACACTTCACTTGTCTTTTTTGCTCAAGGCTGATGTTCTACCATGCGAACCACACCTCCAGTTCTGGCTCTTTCTGGTTCATTGGAGGTTAAGAATCTTGCAGATATTTCTGCCCAGGCTGGCTTAGAATGGAGGTCCTCAGATCTCTATCTCGTATGAATGGGAGGCAGCCAGGAGTATGGAAGAAGGCCGCATGTTTGGTGAAGATGGTTCAGGCATTTCAGGAGTGTGGATTCTATTCGAGGCAGCTGTGAATAGTGCTCATGTTCTACCGTGGGATTGTTAATGAGTTTGGTGGAGTCGTCGACTTTCAAAAATTACCAGGTACCTTGTAGGACTTACTATGCCAATAAAGGAAAACTTTTCTGGTTGTTTGGGTCTCACACTTTGCAGTCTTTAAACCTCTTCTCTATTTTCAAAAAATCCCCCACAAAACCCCCAACAAACTAACCCAAACCAAGAAACACACAAATTGTTGAGATTGGATTTATGTTCTGTACATGGTCGATGAATGTCTGTACATGGATTTGAGGTTTTAGATATTGGGAACAGCATCCTGTGTTATGACTATTATGTCACACTTGTTTTCTGCTATGTTTTTCTCTCTGTTAACAGTGCTGAGGTGTTAAGAAATTTCCCACTCTATTATGGATTTGGCCCTTTCTCCCCTTGGTTAGTTAACTTTTCCCTTCATCTGGAGTGCATGGTCTGATGTACTTAAAATTAGGATTGCTATATATGTCCTTTTTCTGAGCTAAACTCTTGAACAGGATGAATTCTACCTCTTTATATCTAGCAATGCCTTTTACTGTTTTTTGTTTTGTTTTGTTTTTGGTCTGTGATCAGGACTCTGTACCTGATGCTTTTTCTCATTGGCTAGAGCTATCCCTACAGAGCCTTGCCTCCAGCTCCAGTGCTTTTTACCTTAAAGTCAGTTTGTCTGCTATGCATTCCACCTTCCTCTTCCCCTTCCCCTTCCTTCTGTGTGACAGTGCTAAGGCTGGATGCTGTTTCTTTTTTCTCTCAAGGCTGGTGCTCTACCATTTGAGCCACTGCTTTTAGCTTTTTTTTCTGGTTAATTGGAGATAAAAATCTTTCAGTATTTCTGGGCTGGCTTTAAACGATGATCCTTAGATTTCAGTCAACTGAAAAGTTAGAATTACAACTGTGAGCCACTGGCACCCAGTTAGGATTCTCTCTCCCTCTCTCTTTCTCTCTTTACATTTTTATATTTAAAGCTGGGTGCCAGTGGCTCATGCCTGTCATCCTAGCTACTCAGGAGGCTGAGATCTGAGGATCATGGTTCAACGAGCCTGGGCATTAAAGTCTGTGAGACTCATCTCCTATGAACCACCAGAAAACCAGAAGTGGCGCTGGTACTCAAGTGGTAGAGAGCCAGCCTTGAGCTGAAGAGCTGAGGGACAGCGCCCAGGCCCAGAGTTCAAGCCCCATGACCCCCCCCCCCAAATTAATTTTTTTCCATGTCACCATGTTTTCTTTTAAGAAATTGTACTTTGCTTCCCCCCCCCCATTTTGGTGGTACTGGGGTTTGAACTCAGGACCCTGGGCTTGCTGGACACACTTTGCTGTTTTTTTTTTTTTTTTTGGGTCCGGTCGTGGGCCTGAACTCTGGGCCTGGGTTCAGCTCAAGGCTAGCGCTCTACCACTTGAGCCCCAGCGCCACTTCGGCTTTTTTCTTTTTGCTTATGTGGTGCTGAGGAATCAAACCCAGGGCCTCTGGCATGCAAGGCAAGCACTCTACCACTGAGCCACCTTCCCAGCCCCACTTTGCTTTCTTTAATCCCAGTGTCACAGCGTTTCTTTTTATTGCACTGTTCAGATTACTTCTATTTAATAAATTACTTAATAGGAATTGACCATCACATTATTTATCACCCATTTCTTCTATGTTCTGTATTTCTCCTTATTAGTAGTTACATTCTCTCCCTTGCCATATTAAAGTTGCTTTCTTTTCTTTTCTTTTTTTTTTAAAGGAAAGGATAGAGTCTTTAACACCCCGCTGTGTGAACAAGGAATCGTTGGGTTCGGGATTGGCATCGCGGTGGCTGGTGCCACTGCCATTGCGGAGATCCAGTTTGCAGATTATATTTTCCCTGCTTTTGATCAGGTGAGCGCCTCCCGCCCTCCTGTCAGCCGCGGGGCGTGGCCTGGGCGTGGCCTGGGCATGGCCTGGGCGTGGCATGTCGTGGGCATGGCTGGGGCTGCCCTGGACGTGGCCTGGGCATGGTGTGTCCTGGGCGTGGCATGTCATGGGCGTGGCTGGGGCTGTCCTGGGCGGGGCGTGGGCGGGGCCTGGGCATGGTGTGTCCTTGGCATGGCATGTCGTGGGCGTGGCTGGGGATGTCCTGGGCGGGGTCTGGGTGGGGCCTGCCCTGGGCAGGGCCGGGCTCCCCACTCACCCTTCTCTCCCCGCAGATCGTGAACGAAGCCGCCAAGTACCGCTACCGCTCGGGGGATCTCTTCAACTGCGGGCGCCTCACCATCCGCGCGCCGTGGGGCTGCGTGGGCCACGGCGCGCTCTACCACTCGCAGTGCCCCGAGGCCTTCTTCGCCCACTGTCCCGGAATCAAGGTAACCCCGCCTGCCGGCCGCGCTCCGTGCTGCCAGGCTGGGCCACCCTACGCAGTCAGAAAGGGAGAAGAGCATTGCTTTTGAAATCCAACACCGGTGCTAGGTTTTCCAGAAGGTTCTGGAGCTTGATGCTGGTTGGTAATGAACTCCATAGACTTGGAGGGCAGATAGGATCGTGACCACCGTGGGTTTGTCTTTCCACGCTTTCAAGGCTCCACAGTGGGGTTTTCTCACGTAACTGATTCTGGAGTGCTTTTTAATACATTTCCTGTTTGGTCCATATTTTCCACAAAGCCAGAGGGAAGGATAGGAGTTTTGCTTGTAGTCCTTTTTATTCTTTAGTACTGGGATTTGAACTCAGAGCTTTGGGCTTGGTACACAGATACTCTACCACCTGAGCCACTCCCTTAGCCCTTTTTGTATTCCTTTTTGTTTTGGCACTTGGACCTAACTGGCCTGGACTGCGATCCTCCTATTCCTGACTAGTTGGGATGATAAGTGCAGGACTCCACATCCAGCTACTGGTTGAGAGGGGTCTGTGAGCATTTTTTCCAGGCTGGTCTTGAACTGAGATCACCCCAGTCTTCATCAGCTAGAGTTACAGGCATGAGTGCTCACACCCATGCATTCTTCTTTTCTAAATAGACTGGGAGAAGGCTGTTCGTTGTCTAGATTTTCAGGTTTTTTGATATTAAAGATATTTTGAAGGTATTATTATTATTATTATTATTTTTTGGTTCCGGTCGTGGGGCCTGAACTCTGGGCCTGGGTGCTGTCCCTCAGCTCTTCAGCTCAAGGCTAGCGCTCTACCACTTGAGCCACAGC